AATAGCATAGGACATTAGGACAGATTGAAGGGAGAATAGAATTTTGCTCAACGTGCTGAATAGAAAATTCTGATCAAAACCGGATCATTTATATGAAAAATAGTTGGTTATGGTGCATAAAAATTTTCAATAATTCAAATCAAAATTGAGTTTTTATAAATTTTTAAAGTTGCTCAATAATTTCGGAGGGCCAAAGTTGTACTATATCAGGGTTATTGGACAAATGCCAAGAATGTAACAAAATGAGGATTCTCTGTTTTGATAATTTTTCTAATCATGCATGCTTTTCATGATTCAATCACATAAACCACCACATTTATCTGTAATGAAGCAACACTATTAGTATTACACTAGTGATATATATCTGTATTATAAATTGAGGATACATATATACTGTACTGATAACACTTTAATTTGGCAGAAATTTATTTTGGCAATTGCATGGCAATTTGCAAACAAAATTACCAACATTAACATAATGCACATGCTCAATGACATCGTGCTTGTACCCAAAAATTGTCAAAATAAAGCTCCAACAAAATAATAACTTATACTGCCGGATAGTGACTTAGTGCATGAATCACAACAAGTGTTTTATTTACTAACATTATAAACCACATTATACATAAATATACACATACACAGTAATATTGAGGTAATGCACACTCATGACTAACCATATACCAGTAGAGCATTTATTCAACGTACAGTCATATAATGATAGAGTATGTCTGTGATTGTACACTGAATTAGTATAGGTGATTATAAATACCATCTATAAAATTTAGACATTATCAACTAAAAAGAATGACTTGTAGTTGCATTAAACTAATTAGATTGAATCTAATTATCACAACTATGCATCAGATTTCCATATTTGGAGAATAAGTAGCCTATATAAGTCATCACTCACAGCCTGCAAGTATACACTAGTCAGTCAGTACAGACAGTAGCTATGTCTCTCCTGTTAGTGGTTGTTCTCTTATTCTTCAGTAGCTCCTGCAGTGTCTCCTCTGGTCAGTATTATGTGTCTGATGACTGCAGTTCAGTTACTCAGTCACCTTGTAATCCTTTATCAGTGTATGCTGGGAATATGTCTCAATACAATAACACCATCTTCTACTTCATTGGAACTAGTGTCATTAACTTTACTGTTGCAATGGACTCAGTACAGAATATAACTCTACATGGACTGGACCAGTCTCCTACTATTAACTGCTCATATTATGAGTCTATAGCAATCAGTAACAGCAGTCATGTCATTTTCAGTAACTTATCATTCCTACAATGCAGCATACTTTTTATGTATTCGAGTAATATCACAATTGTTGATTCTATTTTTAAAAGCCTGAGACACTGGTGGTACATGTATGTCGACCTCTTCAATGTTTTTGATAGTAAGATAACATCTTCAGTTTTTGATCAAGTACATCTATACGTTCTATATCATCCACCTCCAGTGTGTTACAATGAATTACACCATTACTCATTAATACTGACTGATGTTACTATAATAACTAATAAAAGCGTATGGTTTAGTATAGATCATGGTACTTCATATAATATATCAGTTTTTCTTGATAATGTTAATATCATTAGAGCAATTTATGATGTTTATTATTTTTTTAGTGAATCTCTTTTTTCTTTGCATGCTACCAATTCATCAGTATCTGGATCTGGCTTTATGTTCGACATGTATTCACACTATTTAGATGAATCAAAAAATTGTACTATTAAAGGTGTTGAATTACGATCAACTATTGTAATTGAAAACTCCCAATTTTATAACAATCATATTGCATTACAATTTACTGCAAATAGATGCTATTTTCAATCTAGTAACCATCATGTTGCTATTATTGTTAAATCATGTTCAATACGGGACAATTTTTTTGGATTAATCATTGATGGATGTTTATCAACCCAATCAACTCATATCAAAGTTATAGATACTGCACTTGTTGGAAACAGAAGAAATGGGATAATTAGGTGCCTTATCTTTCTTAATAACATTACCATTACAAATAGTTCATCAACAGGACTGGAGATTAAAGATTCAGTAGTAACTGTAGAAAATAGATTAGTACTTAAGAATAATACTGGAGTAGTTGGAGGAGGAATAACAATAAATGATTCATCTGTTGTGGTCCTATCACCATCAGCTAACTTGGAGTTTATTGATAATCATGCATCTCTTGTAGGAGGAGGAATTTATATTGATGAGAACAGTAAATTTCAATTTAAACAAAACTCCAGCTCCATTCCTCTTTTATTAAAAGATAATACTGCTGGAGTAGCTGGAAATGATATATATGGGTTTATCACTTCATTCAATTATTTTAATTTGACAAATCCTAAAGCTAGTGTATCAAGCAATTTTTGGTTCTTTTTTTGTGATCCTGACAGAAAGGGAACAAAACCAAATGATACAAACATCAATGAGACACAGAATCATGATGAATATGAGCAACAAATATTTCCAGGTCAACTACTGAAATATCATGTTGCTTTGTTTGTATTCAACGCCAGTATAGATAATGGTACGTTCATTTCTATAAATGAAAGGATAAAAATAGAAATTGATAAAGTACCAGTGGAACATGTATACCTCACTGGTGGTTTTTCCTTGATTGAATATATACCAAATAATCTCACATACACAAGACATCAAATAGCATTTGTAACGTATCATCACAAAATTCAGTCATGTTTCATCTTTAATAAGTGTCCTATTGGTTTCAGTGTAAACAGTTCAGGTGTTTGTGATTGCAGTCAAAGTGTTTCAAGAGAGAATGTGACATGTGATATAAATACTCTAGACATTACACACAATGGTCTACTGTGGATTGGAACCTATGGTAACAGTACACCTTTCAATGCTAATGAAACCAATCCTAATGCATGCATTATCAATGAAGACTGTCTCCTCTATTGTTCTCCTAATCCTGTTACCTTTCAGTTGAATGACACTCATACTCAATGTGTGGATACCAGAAGGGGAAGAATGTGTGGATCATGTGGAGATGGATACAGTCTACTAATGGGATCAAACAAGTGTGGACAGTGTCATAATAATTACATGATGATAGCTTGGATTGCTCTGTTTGCAGTGATGGGTGTACTACTTGTGGTTCTACTGATTGCTCTCAATTTAACAGTATCACTGGGTACACTCAATGGTCTATTGTTCTATGCTAACATTGTCAAGTTATACGAGCCAGTTTTTTCTAGGAAAGGAGCATTACCAGTCTTGCATCAGGTGATATCATGGATTAACTTAGACTTTGGGTTTGAGATATGTTTTTACAATGGTATGGACAGTTATGCTAAACAATGGCTCCAGTTTGCTTTCCCTCTCTACCTGTGGATCATTATCATTATCATTATACAATTGTGCAAAAGATATGGTAAGATATCAAGACTGATGGGGTCTCATGCTGTTCCTGTTCTATCTACACTCTTCCTTCTCTCATATACTAAACTAGTACGTACTGTTGTTATTGTACTACATAAGCGTGAGGTAACTCTTCACTGTACAAATGAGTCAGTAAGATCAGTTAGTTTATGGTACGAGGATCCTAATGTTGAATATGCTAAAGGGAAGCATGTTGAACTATTTGGATTTGCCCTATTGGTATCCGTTTTCTTTGTCATACCATACACACTCTTCCTTTTACTTAATCCTTTTTATGAGAAGTATCTTTCAAATTTCAATCTCTTCAAAAGCTTTTGGAGTCGTTTCAAGCCTATTATTGATGCTTATAGTGGTCCAATGAAAGATGAGTA